CATACTGTGAATACGCTAACGCTATATTTCAGATTCAGAACAGCTTCCAGCCTTGAGCATTATGATAATCTTTCCAACCAGCCATATCACTGAAAATGGTCTATCACACGCACACACACACACACACACACAAAAAAAAAAAAAGAGGAAAGAAAAAAGAATCACCCATTATGTCTGGATCCAAAAGTGCACATATATGCACACACACACAGACACACACACACACAAAGCGATGAATGCATCCACGAGGAAACAGCAGCATTGAGATGTACAATAACAGCCGTTATTACTTGGCATTTGGCGGTGACATCAATCAGAGCCAGCCATTCTAAGCACTGTGATGGTACATAACTGCTCAGCCAGAGAGCTGATTTAATAGAGCATGGTCTGATAAAGTCCCTGCAGAGATCACTTCATGGCCAATAGGTTGTTCAGGCAGCTAATTGGTCAAAAAATAAAACCTCTCTCAGGAATTGGATCCAATGTTATCACGGTGAGTCTGGCACACTATTAATGAGTAGCATTGGCTCCCTTTAGCCCCCTAACTATATTTCTGCTCAGGCTGTGCATGGGGACTTGTACTTGGGCATAATTATGGTGATGATGACCAAATGTTTACCTTATAAGCAGAGTCTGTACACAGGAGGATTTCTGCAGACTCCGTACAGTTGTAATAACAGTGAGAGTAATGATGCAGCCACACAGCCTCAGCTGCTCGGTTATTTCACAGCAGAAAATCCAACACTGTTATTGATCCACATACCTTTACAGATATTAAAAAAAAAAATCTAGGGGACCAAATTCTCTTATTCCATTGGTTTTCTGCTCAGTAGGGCAACCAGCATCCAGTGTTTGCTGGACATAATGGTGCGAAAAGGAAACCCCAACCCTGTCAATGTCAATTTACATAATTAGCTACAGTGCATTACCTTGACATGCAGGTACATTTTTAGTTCGGAAAGAGCTCCACAATTAATAAGAATTATCAAGATCATACATCTCTATGCAATGTTTTATGCGACAACAATGTTTTAGTGTGAAGATACGTTTAATACAACATATGATATGTTAAATATATGACTACCGAGAGGCTGGAACAGCCTGTGTTTATGTTGAAGCCTGCAGCCTATTTACTCACTGATAAAAACAGCGTCGGTAACAAGAGACTGGCAGGATCTTCTCCTTATCACTCTCCTTGGCGAGTTACCCACTCTCCAAACTAGGCTATTAATTCACACAGCCAGGTAGGCAGCTTTGTCGACAGGTGACTTACATTCCTACCTCAGCAAACCACTGGACGGGTAAAAGACTTCCTTGGCTCTACTACTCTGACTCATGAGAATGGGCTACTTAAGGAACATTTATATTTAAGGTATACTGCTTAAATTCTGTAGGGGCTCATTATCACAGCTTGAAATTCTTTAATTACGCAACTGTTACTAAACTCAGTATTGTAACAGTCTGGGAGTCAACCTGCTGTCTTACTGGTCGTTTGTTTGAGGGTTAATGTGCTCAGTGGATAGACTGCACCATAAAAAAGTTTTGCAGTCTGCTTTGTGGCGCTCCATTCAAAAATGATTACCTTACCTGCCTAACTTACCAGCACAAACCCTAACCTGTAACAAGAGCCTTAAAAGACTATAGAGGCTGACTTATCACCTAAGTTAGCCAAAACAATGCTCCTCAATGCCTTATCATAACTGACTCACCTGTTATGTATAAACACACACAAAAACAGACTTGGTTGATTTTTTGAGACTGTCCTTCTATGACATCCACTTATGATAAAGTGACGAAGCCCTCTAGCAGCCATAGTGATTATGACCGGACCAAAGGAGAAAGTAAGGGGATGTTATTGTAGAGCGACAAAGTCCACATTGGGAGGAGGTTGCAGTGGATGGATGGGTCAACAAAATATCACATTTTACTATGGAAGAGAGCTCTTTGTTTCCTCTTTCTGGCTTATTCAGTTTTTTTTTTTTTACCACAACCAATCACAATTTCAATGTTTATTGTTGTAACCATGACGACGAAGATCACATAACCTAAACAAAGTAGTCATTTTAACCCAAACCTCGTTTCCCTAATCTTAACTATGTACTTATTTGAACCCAAGCCGTGATCTTACCCCAAACCTAACCATTTTGATGCATAAACCGTACCAAACCTTAACCATTTTTGTTCCATCATAAAACTGATTTATTTTTCTAACTTGATTTGTGGTTTTGGAAGATGCAGGTAATACTGTCCAGGACGGCACATGGAATAATGATGTATTATTCTTAAATGTAGCATTTATTTTTTCTTTTAAATGTGCCCTTTACCGGTAATGGGTATATTTGTTTACTGTTTGCATGAGGACAACATGGATTGCAATCAATATTTTCTCATTAAAGTGTGTCAGTAAGAAGAGATTTGTGCAGCCTCGGTGCTAGAACAATACTTATGGTCTGGAGGATACTATATTTGAAAATAGCTGAGGTGGACTGAGTATTGCTGTCTATATAACACAATATAAGTATCCACCCATGCCATATCTACTGATCGGCAGCAGTAGTGAATGTCTGACATCTCACCAAAAGTGCCATCATCTCACATCATCTCTCCCTTCTCTCTCTTTACGTCTTCATCTTCAGCTGCTCCTCCTCCCCCTCCTCTCTCCCCTCCTGTCGACTCCTCTCGTCTTCCCTCTCCTCGTGCCCACCGTGGCGTGACAGGTGACTGACGATGCTAACAATAGTGGGTGCGGCCGCCCCTGCTCAGCAGAGCACGAGCCGCATGATAAATTACCCTCATCAGTTTGTTTTGCCAAGAGCCCGCACAGGTCACCACCAAGGCCGGTCGTGACATTTTGTTGCATACTGTATATGCAAATACCTGCCAATCAATTAGCACGCCGCTCCCACCCGCTCCCTCTGCTGCCCATTGTGATTAAAATGAATTGATTGTGGGCTAAAATCAACACTGCCAGTCTGCCAAAAGCCTAGGGGTCAACGGGACACAACAGAGGAAATGGGGGAAGTAATGTTGCTTCTTCACTCTCCCCTCACTTCCCTTCACTTTATTCTTTATCGCCATCTCATAACTGCGGGCATAAAACACAGTGAAATTTGCTGAAAATGAGAAAACTGCAATGTAAACAGACTGAGTAATAAATTTGCGGGAGGCTGTCAGGGCTTTCTGGAGATCAGGTTGATATGTGATGGGAAAGCAATGGTGGCAGCAATATTTCGAGCAGCCTGAAGCCAGTGGGTTATCTAAGCAGACTCCTGCAGGTTGTGTGTTTTTTTTACATGTGTGTTACAGCTAGAGAGGAATGTGCAAGGCAAGACTTGATGGACAAAGAGCAAGCGCTTGCAAGAGTCACAAGGAAAAAAAAAAAAAAAAAAATGCAACCAGCTTTTGATTTAGTATCAAGGGCTTAACAGGCAGGGTAAACAACTCGCTGATGGTTTACGGAGAGACTGATTAAAGGAAGCACTTATCATTCAAAACCATGCCTGCTTACATAAACAATGTTTGCACAGGAAGAATCGAGAGCGAGGTAATAGAGGGTGCATTTCAGAAATGATAGCTTTCTTTAAAGCCACTATTTTGTGCGAATTTGGAGTGATTTCCACATTTTCTCTCTTTTTTTTTTCTTCATGCAACTCTCTTACAGCTCTGAGGCAATACAGAGGTCTCAGGTAATGATGGTAAAGGACCTTGGCTCTATATGAATGCTTTTATAAACACTGAGCTTTATACACACATACTGTGGCTACCACCTCAGTCAAAAATGTATCCATCAAACGATTACCCCAAATTTGTGCTGGCGACTTACTCAGGTATTACCGTCTTGCTTATGTAAAGTGAAGGACAAGCTGGCTAACGTATCTTGTGAGGCAACATAGTCTCCTAGAGTGCCATGAAGCAGACCCATGATATGCTTTGTTGTCAATTAGGTTTTCCAATTAAATAACTGAAGAATGAAACAAACCCTGCATTAACTAATTTGGGGGCCTCTTAGGGGGCCGTGTAAACAAGCTACGATTTCATGGCCAACGGACGGCTGTAACTTCAACATTCACTCTACATTTAGCTATTTTTGGTCTCTACCAACTCCTGAGAGAAACATCATTGGTCGGTTGCACAAAACAGATTTTTACTTAAGTATCGCACTTAGGGTTTAATTTCTCCTTAGCTGAGGGAGTTACTTAAGGGTGTTGCACACAATCTTTTAAAAGGTTTTCTTTTTTTTTTCTTCCCTTTAAAAACGAGTGTGTCGTCGACGACACATTTGCACAGGCGCACTTTGGATTACCGTAACTCTGTCAGGGTTTGAGCAATCGGAAAAATTCCACCGGTTTCTGAAAGCTAAGACCCTGCGCTTTATAGGCAGGTCATTACGGTAATTTCACTTCCGCCTCTACCGGAAGACCGGGAAAGTGCCCTTTCGTTACTGGCGAATACAGAGACAGCAGAGTGGAGAAATACAGCGAATTTTTGATTGAAAATGTTAGCAAGACGGCCATCCCGTGTAATAAAACCTTTTGAGGACGAAGGAGCAACCGAAGGAGCAACTTCTGGCGAAGGAAGGTAACGTTAGACGAGTTGAATTTCCAAGTTGAATTTCTGAATGAATGAAGCTCTCTGACTTTTCTCTATCTAGTTTTTACTTTCTTTACGTTATTGTATGTGTAAATCGACGCTTGTATTGCGTGGTGACTTTTTTTTTTTTACCAAGTCTGTAAGTTTGTACTATGTGTGCATTTGTACTTTTTATGGATAAATGTGCACTTCATGCACTACGAAATATGGCTCATGCATTGTTTGGTGACTTTTTTAGAATAGTGCAACGTTACGTTACCAAGTCTTGTTTGTGTAACAAATTATTCTGTGTGTGTTATATGCACGTGTCCACCACATTTTTATGTTTTGATGAGCTATTAGATAATTTAATTTCTCTTCGGGGATGAATAAAGTTATATCTATCTATCGTAGAGGGAGAAGCCGTGGGGATGCTGGAGGCTCCGGTGATGGTGTTAGAGACCGTAGCCGCTCACCACATCATCAAAGGTGGAAGACTGAGGCAGAGCCTGATGATGGAGTCCCTCAGGTTCAACCCCAAACGCACCCCAGGTGTCCAACCCCCTCTCAATATGGGAAACCCACCACCAGGTGAAATCTTTTCCCACTTTTTTGATGCTGCAGTTTTCAAACTCCTCTGCGAAAACACCAACAAGAATGCAGCCAAAAACCTGGAGAAAGGGAAAAAGTTCATCTGGACTGAAATAACTCCAGATGAAATGAAGAAATTCATTGGCATGTTGCTGTACATGGCAGTTTTGAAACTGCCGAAGATTAGTGACTTTTGGCGTCAGCAAACAATTTTCCATGTGTCATTCCCCGCCACCGCCATGTCCCGAGACCGGTTCATGGCCATCTTGTCTAATTTGAATGGCCCAAAGAAAAATGAGGAAAATGACAAGAAAAAGGGCACAGAGGATTATGACCACCTCCACCGAGTCAGACCTCTCATGGAGTTGATTTGCGTGAATTGCAAGGCCATCTACCACCCAAGACAGCACCTTGCAGTCGATGAGAGGATGGTTGGGACCAAGGCCAGGCTCAGCATCAAGCAGTACATGAAGGCCAAGCCAACAAAGTGGGGGCTGAAGTTTTTTGTGCTTGCTGACATCAACGGCTACACCATTGACTTCATGCTCTACACGGGGAAGTCCAAGTGGGCATCAGGGAAGGGGCTCTCATTTGATGTTGTAGCAGGACTGGTCAACAAAGACTATCTGGGGTCTGGATATGCAATATACACGGACAATTTTTACACCAGTCCCCTCCTCTTCCGACACCTGAGGCAGCAGGGATTTGGAGCTTGTGGGACCTACAGGTAATGTGCAATGGCTGCTCACTGCTCCTAGTGATGTTTATCATATATAGTATGGGTCAAATGCAGAGAATAAATTCAGTGTATACAAGTACTATGAAATGACAAAGTAATCTTCTTCTTATACAGGCAGGGAAGAGTTGGTGTCCCCACCACCCAAGAAAATGCACTCACAAAGAAATCACCACGAGGCAGCATCCGGTGGATCAGGGACAGAGATCTTCTGTTTGTGAAGTGGATGGATGTGAGAGAAGTCTCCCTGTGCTCCACCATCCACCCAGTCTACAGTGGGGACACAGTGGAGCGCTGGTCAAAGACAGGTGATGGGCCACAACAGAAGATCTCTTTCCCCAGACCCACCTCAGTAACGGAGTACAACAAGTACATGGGGGGAGTAGACACGTCAGACCATGATTGGCACAAACTCTGTCCACCGTAAAACAAGGAGATGGCCCACCACTGTCTTCCAACATCTGCTTGACATTGCCGTGACCAACTCGTTCGTGATCCACAAGACTCGCTGTGCCAGCCTGCAAGAGAAGCCTATGACACGTCAGCGATTCCAGGAGGAGCTTACTGCGCACCTCCTTGGAGTTGACGTGAAAAATGGCCCACAGAAGACCCGAGGTAACCAACATCTGCCTATCCCCACAAGCAGCGGCCACACAAAATCTGACCGAGCCAGCATGGGGCGACGGCGCTGCAAGCTCTGTAAAAAGAGCACTGCCTGGCAGTGTCAGGAATGTGATGTGGGCCTGTGTCTGCAGCCAGAGAGGAACTGCTACTGGCAGCACCACCAAGATCTTTGAGTCTGCAGCCAGAGAGGAGCAATTGTCCTGTGTGGGGAAAAAACGCCTGTATATAGTTTTAATTTTATGGCCTGTTATGCACTACAAGTTTATTGTAAGTTCACAAATTTTATTGTAAATAGTTTTATACTTTTCAAATTTAAGATGGAAAACCTGTTATTCATGTACAGTTTCAGTGTTTTTTCTTTACTAAAACTTTAAAATCAAATTCCGTTTTTGTGTTTTTCCTTCATTTAAACTGTTATTACAGTGTTATGCAGTAAATTGAAAATAAAGTTCCAAGTATTCTGGAAAAATGGACAAAAGCACTTACTCACAGGACATTTTCTGACCTTTTTATAGTTAAAATAAGCAAAAAAATCCAGGCGGACATTTTGAGGCTCAGGTGTCAATGGACGGCTGTAACTCCAACATTCACTCTACTTTTAGCTATTTTTGGTCTCTACCAACTCCTGAGAGAAACATCATTGGTCGGTTGCACAAAACACTTTAAGATTTCTACTTTAGTATCGCACTTAAGGTTTAATTTCTCCTTAGCTGAGGGAGTTACTTAAGGGTGTTGCACACAATCTTTTAAAAGGTTTTCTTTCTTAAGGAAAAAAGTTAAGGCATTTGCACAAATGAAAGAAATTTTACAGCTGTAAAATTCTGCTGCATCATGCAGCTGAGCAGGTCGTGGACACTTGGCTTTTAGTGCATTTTAGCTTAAAGCAGCTGCCTGCTGCAGCCGAATACAACAGTTAAGCTGAGTTCCTGAAAACCGAAACAATGAGCTGAAAGAAGCTTAAACAGAGTCGGGTGATACAGTAATGCTCTGTGGCTTTAACACTATGAGCGACCACTGAAATACATAGAGATTTAAGTCACATTAAAGAATAACATATTTGAGCTTCATGACTTACATTGAAGGTTCTTGTGCTTTTTGTTTCACGTATATTTCAGTTTGGAAAGTTTTCACGTGTAGCACAGCTTCACCTGTAACTACAACAGTCCGTGTGTTTCTTATGTAGATGCCAGAAAATCACCAGAGCGCACACGTGGCTCCGAGCTATGCTCAAACCCTCACGTCTTCATCCTCCCCTGCACGTTGGCCTCCCTATGATCCTTCATCAACGATTTCGGCAGCAGTGCGTTATACAGGTCAAGCACACCCACCTTCTGTATCACTGCTACACCACCACACACCAGGAGGAGATGGGGTTAGCAAAAATCAGTAGTTGCTTTCACTTTTCATCACACTGCAACGTGCTCAAGAGGGTCATTAGTTTTTGCTATTATTATAGCAGAAGCTTTGGTGCAAGAACTAACAATCTGGTCAATGCATAGTAACTGCAGTTCTCTCTATATGCTTGACTTGACTGCAGATAATCTTCTACCCCAATTTACTCCCTCATTGACTTAAAAGATGCATGAGTATAAGTACTTCTTAGGTGCTGTCTGCCATAGTTTTTGGACAAGTCAGTGCATGGTTATAGCCACCAGGTTTCCATACATTCCATATTTGACTGCTGATAATCCCCTACTTCTACCATCCCAAAAGGTTCATACATTAATAGAGGTATTTATGGTTTGATTAAGATTAGTCTCTCAATGGTGGATTATAGTTTATTGGGAATGTTTAATGCAAGATTTAAATGAACATGATCAATCTCCTTGACTGGTTTAAGGGACAAACATGTCATCTTTTCTGTTCATTTTCTCGTTATTATTATTTTTAACATTGTTGTCCAGAGCCAGCTCGAAATCATTTTCTCCCTCATTTATTATTGGGTTTTGAAACTTCATCACAGTTATGGCTGTTATTGTCTTTGCTTTGGATTTTACTAATAGTATTTATTGCTGCTTCTGTCATGTCCACCATCTGCTGTGGAGATTTAAATGTCATTAACATGCGCAGACCTCCAGCCACAGTAAATATCCTGCCATTTGCTCACAGGACTGTATTCAGCTGGGCTGCCTTCGAGTTTCTGTTGTGCCAAAAAAAAAAAAAAAACTTAGCACCTTGAAGTTCAGGGAATGCTTTCGTCAGTCACGGTTAAACAAAATATTAAAATGTGCGAGACGTAAAACTTAAGATGGGAATCAAATGGAATGCAAACGTTCAAAGCAAATCATCCGTGATCCTTCTCCTTTTAATCCTACCTCCTCCACATAATCCTTGCAGTGTTGAAAATATGTTTTTACAAACTTTATTTCAAAACATTTTGTGATGGGTGGTGAGATTCTCAAGCAGTTAGAATTTAGTTTTATTCCCTTATTTACATGACCTAAAGGACTAAGTATAATTGGGAATTGGGAAACAAAACGCAGCTTCCCCTTATGTCACCGAATTGACTCACATTATCTGAATATATCAGTCAATAGGTGGAAGATTGGTGATGAAACTGTGCAGCAAGTAAGCACAAGTGAGGATGTGCCGTCTGCGGCCCAAGTGACAGCGCCTCTGTGGATTCTTCTACCTGAGCAAAGCCAAGCACAGAGATGACTCCAGGAAGAATGAGGGTTTACGTCATCAAAAGGTACAGGAGGTGAAGTAAGCGAGAGAATTTCACAGTGTGACTGAGCAGTTCTCACACTTGACAGGAAGAGTGACCCAGCGGACACTTTGATTGCAACTTTTCAGGCCTAAAGTACGACTCCATGTGTGCATTCCACGTGCCAACGTGTTTTTTCGCCAATTTGAATGTTGATGCGCTCACTGTGCATGAGTTTGAGCAATACTCCGTGGGCGTGTTCCTCATGTTAGGATGCACAGGGAGAATATTAGGGAGGGGGCTTGCACGGCGAACCACGGTGCATAGCCCATGCATAATTCATAACCCTGCATTGAGCCATAATCTTTGCTTCGTGCACTAATGAAAGCTGCAGCGCTGCATTTTCACTGCATGCAAGTCAGGCTGGACGAGATAATGTGGCAGGAAAGAGAACATCACATCAGGACTGGGTACACTGACTTCCTACTCCTGCTGATGCTGTGTCCTCCCTCCAGACTCTTGCAGCTGCTTTCATCCAACAGTCCATCAAATGTCACTGGAGGCTGATGATACAACACACCAGACTTTTATGGCTTTCAAAGTGAGAAGGGGGAGCAGACAATAACATTTATAAAAAAAAAAAATTTAAAAAAAGTCGAAGGCTTGTACAGCCAGGGAGAGGAATGTAGTAATGCAGTGGTTGGGGCTGTTGTTATAATGAACGAGTTCTAGCAGGTAGCGAGAGCTCAAGCTGACAGAAGGAAGAGGAGTTTTCTTTTTGCCCGACAGCAACACTTTTCACATTTCCCATCCAGGATTGCGAATTGTCCAACAAAGCCAAATCTCTCACCCCCTTCTATTTCAAAGAATCTTGATGTTTATGTGATGGAATAATGTGCATTAGCGAGAGCAGCACAATCATTCGCTCTCCTCCTCTCTCTCTCTCTTTCTCCTCCTTTCCTTCCCATTGCCCATCAATTCCATGGGTTTGGCTCATTGAGTGCAGTGGAGCGAGACGGATGCGCATGGTCGCGCTCAATAGCACCACGCTGCTCAGCATGGGGATATTAGTGTACTCTGCCAGACGGTTTGGATACAGTCCTCTGACCTCACTTGTAAAGAATCAGTTTTCTATCTGTCAGCCCGTCCGCATGTTTTTGTGTCCCGCGTCCAGAGGTGTCCAGGCAGGGTACATCTAGTGGCTGTAAGTGGCTGATAAACACTGACAGCAGAGGAGACACTGAAATTATTGAGTTGAGAGAGAGATGACAGGGAAGGGACGGTTTCTGCAGGACGACTCGCGCTGTAAACGTACGGGTGGAGGAAATGAGCAAGAGGCGTGACAGCTTTTTCTGTGACATACACATCGCAAGCGTCTATTCTAGCATCACCTCATGATTTCATTTTCCTATTGACAAAAAAAGCGAAAGGGGCATTGTTTTCTTAAAGAAATTTAGGGGTGATTGTCAGCAAAACCGATCAGCAGTTCTTCCCCTCAGGAGACTGAATTTGAATCAGTAAGAATGGTTCAAAGCAGAAGACAACTGTGAGTCTTGTGGGCGTACGGGTGCTTGCACATTAGTCTCACTCCGGGCTTCACCGTGGCTCTAAAGAGAAGTAGGCATGTGTTATATGTCACCAAAATAGCAGCGCATTATTGATTTCTACCAGAGAAAACCAGCGACACTTTAAGCCTTCTTTTCAAATCTCAAATCTACAGAAAAATGAATTTTCTCTGCGTCTGTGTCTTGGCCTGAGCTAATGTGACTGTGGGAGATGGACTCATTATTACAGGCGAAGGCTTTAAAGGCTCGCCAAACACCTCGCCACCTGAGGTTCCCTCTTGGGTGGTTCCTATCAATCGCATTGCCGTCTATAAGGCAGGCAGACTTCTGAGGCAGGAGCCTCCTGTCCGTCGCCCACGATGAGCTCATGCATTATTCTACGGCAAATTCCCTTTCCATTTGAAGAGAGAAGAGTGGGCCTTGAAACATGATGAAGACAGCTCGTGGACGGAGTCTGGTGGACTTGAAATGCAGTGTGAGATGACTGACTATTGAGTTTTCCACTTCTCTCCAAGTCAGTATTTTGCATTATTTCTCTGATCCTCCCACTGCATGTTTTTTGTTTCTGTCTTAGCTTGACTTATGCCCTCCTGTTTGAAAAGCTGAAATACAGAACACTCCTTTTTCAGCTAATCATGTGTTCATCTGAACTTGTGTCATGCTATGCTGCATTGACATCAGCACTTGCAATGAAAGAGAGGCTTAAAATCTAAGAAAAGCTTTAAGAAGCTGTCAAAATGCTCAAGCTTGGCTTGTGATTCAGTAACATCCTCCCTTCCAAGAATATCTCCACAGAGCAGAGGAGAATAAAGACTGGAGTGCACGCTGCAGAGTCATAACCTAAAAGTAGAGCAGTGCTTTTTTTTCTTCTTTTTTTTCTGTTTAAATATTTTTAAAGTTGCTGAAGGTTTTTAAAAGCACATCAGTCTGTGTTGGCACATCTGCATGAGCCAATTTTCTC